AGGAACAAAACGCGGAAATCAAAAGACATCAAGACTTAGCCTGACATTTGAAGGATTATTATTTCGAAAAGATAATTTCACTTCAATACAAATATACAAATTAGGCGATTTTTACCGGTGTACAGTAGTGATATGATATGTGAAATGTAAAAAAGATAGTTGCAAAAACGATTGATTTCGGAAGCCAACAATTCCTCATGCTGTTCTGTACGGTGAGCGTCCAACGTAATTGCCGCTGAAATAGGGTAAGAAAGATGAGACGTTAGTAAGTTCATTAAGACGATGAGACAAAGTTCATCACTGATTTTCTCATGTTCATTTATTATTATCATTGAAGTTGGAACATCGACACGTATTCACACTCGTTAAAATGAAAATCAACCATTGTTGATGATATTGATGAAACTACTTGCGGATATCAGCAGTCAGATTACACGTAGAAATTTGAAAGGAGATATTCATCATGTCAAAGTCTGTGTAATACTAGTAATGAAAAATCCATTCTGATATTCATGCAAATTCAAGTGTTTGTAAAATATAGTGAAATTCATGTTCAAAAGAGTTGGTTTTGTTCACAATGACTACATTCTTGATGAGCACTGATTCATCGTCGATTCCGTCAATATTCAGTTACATAGCAAGCGTAACTACAACAGATGAAATGTGATTTACGTAGGTTTAAGCATACAACAATGATCTATGTTGACCGTAACAAAAGTAGGCATTAGTTGTCACAGAGTTAAAAATGACAGGCAATAATTTTCAGGATAGCAAGTGTTCATTTAGGTAGCAACGAGAGTTTGAGCTGATGAATAGAAAATAGAGCGTATCAGTAATATTGGCAAACAACAGCCAAATTGAACCCCACTACAAACAACATACGATCATGAAGAAAGAATGCAGAACGGAGTCATTATGGAAGAGCATGTCACAAATCATTTAAGTAAATGAAAATGATCTTGTTAATGACTTACCCAGGACCATAGTTACACACGATGCTGAGTCCGTATGGGAAATTCGGACAGTTCGTGACACCACATCCAACATCCGTAGTGTCTTCCCAGACAAGCTGAAATGAACCAAGGGACAGTGAACAATTGAATAGTGTATTGAGAGAGGACACATTCAAATAAATTGTTCACGTAAATCAAAAACAGTCTAAGATTACAACGATGTGAAAGACTTGATTCGTTGGGGAGAGTGTAGACCATTCTAACACAGACAAGAAGCGTGCTAACAAGGACTGGAAAATTTCCAATTTGTGTGTATGTAACAACGGATAGTTGGATACTACACGTAGCCATGTTAGACGGTTTCATGGATCGACCACAATATCACCAGTCAGTGTCTACACGACCTTGTCTGAAGTATTTATTTTAACAAGAATGCTTTGTAATCGTTCTAATGCTTACCTGAGTATAATGACCACACTGACCCATACGACATGTTCTCGTGTAGAAGTCGTAATTCTTGTATTCATCCAACCATAATTGGAATCCGCTTGATAGAAATGAACAAACAATAGTAATCAATCGAAACATGAATCCGAACATTTGGAAAAATGAATAGTCAATTACAAGAGTATTATCACATGTTTAGTTGAGGAGGAGAAGAAAGATCTCACTGCACAGGTGTAGGTGTGAACGTCGATGAATATCACGAAGAAACCACACACTGATTGACTGTGGTGATGCCCATCGACTGTGAATATCTGATTAAGTAATATATGGTAAATGAGACATTTGACTATTAACAGTTTCCCGATTGCACACAGATGTGGGTGCATTTTCGACAAGCATGTGAACATGTGGATGCGAGATCCAGCCTATCTCAACACACTAACTACATCATTGCAGTGTTTATTTGAAGTGAATTTTCGATGAGTTGAACTGAGTGACATCGGTCTGTGGTTACACTCGTTACAATCAGTTCAAGATTCCGATGCAACCACTTGTTGAGTTTCACACTAATCACTTCTGTTCATCTCACAATCGTCCTCAATATTTCCTGACTCATCTATCATTGACACACAGACCTTCCGAACCACATCGTCGAGCGTGGAGTGACAGGCGGCATGGTTCACAAATGTGTGTTCCTAAAATTTTGTGGTATTTGGAGTGACGTTTCGTAGTTGGTTTGCATCGAGTATGCGTTCACAGATTGGTTAAAAAGCAACAGTCTGAAAAGAAGTAGGTGTGCATCTGATGACGATGTATGTCGATTAGATCGATATAACACTTCTGCGAATGCAGACCACATGCTTGCAAGTCTACGAGTTGAACAAATTCATATATTTAACACAATGCACATGACACTTACGTGTTTATGTCTTTCGCACCGGCCCAATTCTGTCCAACATATTGGAATGCCGGTATTTTACGATCAGCATTTGTATCATGTCCAACACGACATTGATCAGACAGAATTTGTGCTTTCTTTTCCAATTCCACATTCCATTTCTGTAAACATGTGGTTAATCAATGAGCGAATCAAACGGTTAATTGATCAATTTAATAATGTAATTATTGCTTTATTTACTTCAAATCGATGAGGTGAATGAAGTGGTATCGAATGTCACTCGTTGTCATCAGTGCCATCACATTGACGTGATATAATTAGGAGATTTTTAGTTTTTCCACTAGTTAGTCAGAACCTGCGAAAGATTCTTCATCTCTTATGAACCATGTGAACGAAGTTCGTTCGTCTATACGCACCATTCTCACCAACATACACATCACTAACCACACTCGCTCAAAACAAACAAATGCACAGTTAAGAACACTGTCTACAACCACATAATGATTTCACCCAGTGAGCTATCTACTCTACAACACATTACACTAATAACCTCATTTGAGTGGCCAAGAAACTACTACCTGCAGTCAGCCACAATCAACCAATCAACCGAACAACTTCTCCCTCCCTCCTTCTCTCTCTCTCTCTCTCTCTCTCGCATCATCACACCATGTTCACAGTGAGACCAGCTGAAACGTACACTGAAATCAATTTGTCTCAATCAAAACATAATTGCGCTGAACACTCAAGTTGAACAATCATTCTTCTTACCAGTGGTTTTATGGAGACTGCTATCGGTTGCCCAAAAAGCTGACCATTTTGAACAGATTGTCTTGCCTTATTGTGAAGAGCTAACAACTCATTCCTCATCGCATCATCCAACTGCGCATGAACACAGCAACAGACAAGTGAACACACCAACAACACGACTGATGAAAACTCGGAATTGGAAGACATTTCGATGAGACCAGAATTTCACAGTCTGTTTGACTTACGAACAATCACTTGTTGGCTTTTAAATATATATACACACCATGAGATCAGGTTAATCAACATAAGTCATGGTGACTAAACTAACCACTCATAAGTGTCAATTTGTCTTATGAATGTAGGATTATACTTGTGCAGAATAATAATCAGTTGTGTAATCAGTTATGAATCAGTAGGGCTAAAGGGCGGTGTCTACACAAGACGGTGGTATTGAGAAAATTTTGATTGAAGTTTACTCACAGCGTTTTTACACTGTGAGTGGAAATGACTATCGGTTTGTGGGATTATGATTCACGAGTGACTCATGCTTCTGGAAAAAATATAACAATGTCTGATAATTCCACGAAATTGTAATCAGATTTTGCTATATTGTAATTAAGGCTGCATAACGTGTGAGACGAGCATTTGTGTGGAGTGACGTGTTCTGTCGCTTAAAGTCGATATCAGGTGATAACATGTGTAGTTTGAGTTGATGACTGCTGAATGACTCGTCTAGTTCGATGCATGGATCGTGATACGATTTGAGAGCCTCACCAACCACCTTTCTCTCAGTGATGTCGATCGAATGAGACGTGTTGAAGTGAATTGGTGTCCTCGTGGATGAATGGAGAGTGAAATCGACCAACACAATTGCATGTGAACATGAGATCGTCCCCATGCATATGGTAGTTAAGGGAATGATTTGTGGTTCGACTACTATTTTTTAGTGTTCGTTTCACATGTTATAAATTTCCGATGAGATGTGGCATCGGAATTCGATGATGATTTTCACTGAATATATGTGTTGATTGCAGTACGTGTTGCAGATATTGCTTTCAGACATTTTGAGTGTTGAGGGATTGCAAACTGAAGATATGAATCAGTTATATGGAAGTGATTTTCTGTCACATTTCACCGCGTTGTGTAATCGATAATTCACTTTGTATTTTATAATTGTGACATTCTCCTGGTTTGCTGCTTACAATCGAGAAAAGATGAGCAACTCTTATTTTGGTGCATCGAAGTAAGGTCACAAATACTTGTATAGTCGATTATCTCTTCACCATAAAACACGCTAGACGACCGTTGTCTAATATGCACTCCTTGATATATATAATTATTTTCACACAAATTTTATTTTTAGTTAGAGAAATTTCATATTGATGGAATAATAATAAAATCGAATGTTGCATGACATACTGAACATGGTTCTCTTTGGTTCAGTTCGATGTATACCATGACTTGAATCAACATCATACTGAATAAATCAACTTGATGCTGAATGAAACATCACATCAGAAATCAACCAAACATTACACTGAATATATTCATCACATTGAATTGGAACAGAAGTAATGTTGAAGAGGAATATCAATGAGTTGAATGTGTAATTTTGTCTTTTCGTCCCATCATAACAGGATCAAAGTGGAGGAAGTGGATTGGTGAATAAATGTTATGATAACTAAGTTGATCATTTATATTATACTTATAGTCTGTTATAACATCGGAGATAGATTTTGAAGTGAATTGCTCCACGTAACTTTGCCTTAATTAAAGTTCCAACAATATGTAAATAAAAGATGAATTCTTTTGAGAATAAGTTTTCTGATTTATCATCCATTCACGTATACTTTATGGTGGTAATACGATTTTACTAAGATGGTCACAGAAAAAGCATCTGACAGTTCGTGTATATAAGCTAACACGTGTCTGAGATGGATAGTGTGCTGTTATGTGCTGTCTGTCTGAGTGAACTGAACTGAAATGAACTGAACTGAGCTGACTAATTGTAACATGTCATTGAGTGCATACCAGTATGATATGCACTCGATGACGGCATTTACTTTTCGAAGTCACAGTGCGAGTATACCGATAGTTTATGCAGTACGTCGAAATCTATTAGAAATTGATTTATTTCAAGAATGGAAATGGAAAGAATTCCTATTTTCCTATATTCTATTCATTCAGCATCGTGCGTGTAAACGATTCTACTTATGTTTATTTGTTGTACATATAATTGATATATACATTATTAAACACTGGTTAAAATACTTCGTTCTTTGTAATCTACAAATCACGGCTTCTCAGTATGTGTGCACTTGTTCTCTTGTTATTGCTTACTGATTCGCATCAACCTGATCATGACAGCGAACAAGTTACATTCTGCGTCCATTGGAAAACTGTAATATAATTTTGAATTTATGATATTTCTAAGTATATGATAATTCATAACATAATGATCATTCCAACGTTTCAAGTTTTAATAAAATAATAATTCAACAAACGATTGTTTTACATTTTGTTTCCCGCTAACAGTTCATTTCGATAAGCGTTCCATGAAAAATTGTCCTAAACGTCTATCTTCACTGCAACAACCGACTGTGTCATCACAACTGAACCCATCGACAAATGTTGGTCAAGTTCGGGAGCTTATTATTAAGATAGCTTTCAGTCAATTCAGTAGTCGTATGGACTCCAGCAAACAAGTACAAATACACTTTCATTAACAATCTGGTCATTCGTAGAATTACTAGGCTGTTGAATGTTGAAATATCGATTACACAACGCGGTGAAATGTGACAGAAAATCACTTCCATATAACTGATTCATATCTTCAGTTTGCAATCCCTCAACACTCAAAATGTCTGAAAGCAATATCTGCAACACGTACTGCAATCAACACATATATTCAGTGAAAATCATCATCGAATTCCGATGCCACATCTCATCGGAAATTTATAACATGTGAAACGAACACTAAAAAATAGTAGTCGAACCACAAATCATTCCCTTAACTACCATATGCATGGGGACGATCTCATGTTCACATGCAATTGTGTTGGTCGATTTCACTCTCCATTCATCCACGAGGACACCAATTCACTTCAACACGTCTCATTCGATCGACATCACTGAGAGAAAGGTGGTTGGTGAGGCTCTCAAATCGTATCACGATCCATGCATCGAACTAGACGAGTCATTCAGCAGTCATCAACTCAAACTACACATGTTATCACCTGATATCGACTTTAAGCGACAGAACACGTCACTCCACACAAATGCTCGTCTCACACGTTATGCAGCCTTAATTACAATATAGCAAAATCTGATTACAATTTCGTGGAATTATCAGACATTGTTATATTTTTTCCAGAAGCATGAGTCACTCGTGAATCATAATCCCACAAACCGATAGTCATTTCCACTCACAGTGTAAAAACGCTGTGAGTAAACTTCAATCAAAATTTTCTCAATACCACCGTCTTGTGTAGACACCGCCCTTTAGCCCTACTGATTCATAACTGATTACACAACTGATTATTATTCTGCACAAGTATAATCCTACATTCATAAGACAAATTGACACTTATGAGTGGTTAGTTTAGTCACCATGACTTATGTTGATTAACCTGATCTCATGGTGTGTATATATATTTAAAAGCCAACAAGTGATTGTTCGTAAGTCAAACAGACTGTGAAATTCTGGTCTCATCGAAATGTCTTCCAATTCCGAGTTTTCATCAGTCGTGTTGTTGGTGTGTTCACTTGTCTGTTGCTGTGTTCATGCGCAGTTGGATGATGCGATGAGGAATGAGTTGTTAGCTCTTCACAATAAGGCAAGACAATCTGTTCAAAATGGTCAGCTTTTTGGGCAACCGATAGCAGTCTCCATAAAACCACTGGTAAGAAGAATGATTGTTCAACTTGAGTGTTCAGCGCAATTATGTTTTGATTGAGACAAATTGATTTCAGTGTACGTTTCAGCTGGTCTCACTGTGAACATGGTGTGATGATGCGAGAGAGAGAGAGAGAGAGAGAAGGAGGGAGGGAGAAGTTGTTCGGTTGATTGGTTGATTGTGGCTGACTGCAGGTAGTAGTTTCTTGGCCACTCAAATGAGGTTATTAGTGTAATGTGTTGTAGAGTAGATAGCTCACTGGGTGAAATCATTATGTGGTTGTAGACAGTGTTCTTAACTGTGCATTTGTTTGTTTTGAGCGAGTGTGGTTAGTGATGTGTATGTTGGTGAGAATGGTGCGTATAGACGAACGAACTTCGTTCACATGGTTCATAAGAGATGAAGAATCTTTCGCAGGTTCTGACTAACTAGTGGAAAAACTAAAAATCTCCTAATTATATCACGTCAATGTGATGGCACTGATGACAACGAGTGACATTCGATACCACTTCATTCACCTCATCGATTTGAAGTAAATAAAGCAATAATTACATTATTAAATTGATCAATTAACCGTTTGATTCGCTCATTGATTAACCACATGTTTACAGAAATGGAATGTGGAATTGGAAAAGAAAGCACAAATTCTGTCTGATCAATGTCGTGTTGGACATGATACAAATGCTGATCGTAAAATACCGGCATTCCAATATGTTGGACAGAATTGGGCCGGTGCGAAAGACATAAACACGTAAGTGTCATGTGCATTGTGTTAAATATATGAATTTGTTCAACTCGTAGACTTGCAAGCATGTGGTCTGCATTCGCAGAAGTGTTATATCGATCTAATCGACATACATCGTCATCAGATGCACACCTACTTCTTTTCAGACTGTTGCTTTTTAACCAATCTGTGAACGCATACTCGATGCAAACCAACTACGAAACGTCACTCCAAATACCACAAAATTTTAGGAACACACATTTGTGAACCATGCCGCCTGTCACTCCACGCTCGACGATGTGGTTCGGAAGGTCTGTGTGTCAATGATAGATGAGTCAGGAAATATTGAGGACGATTGTGAGATGAACAGAAGTGATTAGTGTGAAACTCAACAAGTGGTTGCATCGGAATCTTGAACTGATTGTAACGAGTGTAACCACAGACCGATGTCACTCAGTTCAACTCATCGAAAATTCACTTCAAATAAACACTGCAATGATGTAGTTAGTGTGTTGAGATAGGCTGGATCTCGCATCCACATGTTCACATGCTTGTCGAAAATGCACCCACATCTGTGTGCAATCGGGAAACTGTTAATAGTCAAATGTCTCATTTACCATATATTACTTAATCAGATATTCACAGTCGATGGGCATCACCACAGTCAATCAGTGTGTGGTTTCTTCGTGATATTCATCGACGTTCACACCTACACCTGTGCAGTGAGATCTTTCTTCTCCTCCTCAACTAAACATGTGATAATACTCTTGTAATTCACTGTTCATTTTTCCAAATGTTCGGATTCATGTTTCGATTGATTGCTATTGTTTGTTCATTTCTATCAAGCGGATTCCAATTATGGTTGGATGAATACAAGAATTACGACTTCTACACGAGAACATGTCGTATGGGTCAGTGTGGTCATTATACTCAGGTAAGCATTAGAACGATTACAAAGCATTCTTGTTAAAATAAATACTTCAGACAAGGTCGTGTAGACACTGACTGGTGATATTGTGGTCGATCCATGAAACCGTCTAACATGGCTACGTGTAGTATCCAACTATCCGTTGTTACATACACACAAATTGGAAATTTTCCAGTCCTTGTTAGCACGCTTCTTGTCTGTGTTAGAATGGTCTACACTCTCCCCAACGAATCAAGTCTTTCACATCGTTGTAATCTTAGACTGTTTTTGATTTACGTGAACAATTTATTTGAATGTGTCCTCTCTCAATACACTATTCAATTGTTCACTGTCCCTTGGTTCATTTCAGCTTGTCTGGGAAGACACTACGGATGTTGGATGTGGTGTCACGAACTGTCCGAATTTCCCATACGGACTCAGCATCGTGTGTAACTATGGTCCTGGGTAAGTCATTAACAAGATCATTTTCATTTACTTAAATGATTTGTGACATGCTCTTCCATAATGACTCCGTTCTGCATTCTTTCTTCATGATCGTATGTTGTTTGTAGTGGGGTTCAATTTGGCTGTTGTTTGCCAATATTACTGATACGCTCTATTTTCTATTCATCAGCTCAAACTCTCGTTGCTACCTAAATGAACACTTGCTATCCTGAAAATTATTGCCTGTCATTTTTAACTCTGTGACAACTAATGCCTACTTTTGTTACGGTCAACATAGATCATTGTTGTATGCTTAAACCTACGTAAATCACATTTCATCTGTTGTAGTTACGCTTGCTATGTAACTGAATATTGACGGAATCGACGATGAATCAGTGCTCATCAAGAATGTAGTCATTGTGAACAAAACCAACTCTTTTGAACATGAATTTCACTATATTTTACAAACACTTGAATTTGCATGAATATCAGAATGGATTTTTCATTACTAGTATTACACAGACTTTGACATGATGAATATCTCCTTTCAAATTTCTACGTGTAATCTGACTGCTGATATCCGCAAGTAGTTTCATCAATATCATCAACAATGGTTGATTTTCATTTTAACGAGTGTGAATACGTGTCGATGTTCCAACTTCAATGATAATAATAAATGAACATGAGAAAATCAGTGATGAACTTTGTCTCATCGTCTTAATGAACTTACTAACGTCTCATCTTTCTTACCCTATTTCAGCGGCAATTACGTTGGACGCTCACCGTACAGAACAGCATGAGGAATTGTTGGCTTCCGAAATCAATCGTTTTTGCAACTATCTTTTTTACATTTCACATATCATATCACTACTGTACACCGGTAAAAATCGCCTAATTTGTATATTTGTATTGAAGTGAAATTATCTTTTCGAAATAATAATCCTTCAAATGTCAGGCTAAGTCTTGATGTCTTTTGATTTCCGCGTTTTGTTCCTGTGTGACCGGAGTGACCGTTGAGGAATGGGATATTGCAATAATTAATTCGTTGCTAGTCCTGTGCCAGCTTACTACCGACATCGGTTTCTGTCTACACACTAGTCAGTAGCATGACATGTTTTCACACACAGAAGCTTTACTCCTGCATACTGCAATTCTAGAGTATGATAACTTCTCTATCACTACAAAACGATGAATTTACAAAATACGCGTAACTCAAATAAATTTAGTTTGCTTCCAAATTTTCATTTGTTTGAAGTAAAAAAGATCAATGTCATGTGTGTCAGGTCCCACCCACTGATCAACCAATTGTAAATACATCCCAGTGCTACAGGACGTCAGTCGTGGTCCGGATAACTGTGTTAAAGTCTCCGATTGTGATACTGGGTGATACAGGATCGAGTGTCAGGGAGCATCAATTCCCATAAGATGACAGTTACACTTTGCTGACGAGTGCCAAATAGCACGAAACCTAGATCCAAGGTTTCCTGTGGACTACCTCCAATCACCATCTCATCTCAATATAGTACGCGTGATCTCTAGTCACTTAAACTAGTGACCACAATGTTACTTGGTCGATAGAATTCGATCTGAACTTATAAGGAAATGATACATATGACATTGATCACTAACTGGTGATCAATCCATTATAGATACATAGAGTATTTGCTAGCTATTAGTATTTGAATATATCCGAGGTATGTTTCAGCACTACTTATTATATCGAAAACGTTAGTGTAAAAACATGAATCCAGAGGTCAAGTTTCAAGTCACAATTTATTTCGAAAATAATCAATGAAAATCGTCTATATATATATATATATATTTTGCACAAAAACCATTTCGATTTTTCCCCTCAATTTCATGTGCACTCAACTACTCATTTAGTCTTTCACCAATAGAAAAACAAACAACACAGACAACCATTAATTTTTTTTCTTTTTTTAAAAGAACATCATTGACAACTGTTTTGCATAAATTTTGCATAATAAATATATATATATATATACTCAATGGAGGTTAAATAACCATAGAAACTGTTGTAAAAATAAAGAAAAGAAAAAGAGAAAAAAGAAGTGAAACTAAACAAATCATAATTTCCATGAACTCTGGCTAAGCATTTTCAAAATTTGAATTTGAAGTTTATTAAACAATTTTCAACATTCTATAAATTTATGATAAGAAAGGGAGAAAAATAAAAAGAAAGAAAAGAAAGAAAGAAAAGACGACAAGAAATTTAATTCCTTACATTTTGTTTCATATTGTTTCTCAAAAAAAAAGAAAAGAAAAAAGAAACAAAACATACATACATACCATGTCAATTTTTCGATTATTATGTTTTTTAATTACAATTATATTGGCAATTTGTACATTAGGGGTTGGTTTAATTTTATCACCATATTGGAAAGGTAAGTTATGAAATATTCTTTTTTGTTTGTTTCTTTTTTAAAATAATTTTGGAAAGAATTCTGTAAGTAAAGGAAAGAATTACAATTGATTTATTAATGATTATTTATTCATATTTTACATGTTATTATGTGTAATGTGTTAAGTGCCAAATAGCACGAAACCTAGATCCAAGATTTCCTGTAGACTAACTCGAATCACCATCTCATCTCAATATAGTACACGTAATGTCGAGTCACTTAGACTAGTGGCCACAATACAACTTGGTTAACAGAATTCGATCTGAACTTAGAAGGACATGACACATATGACATTGCTCACCACCCAGTGATCAATCCATTGTAGATACATAGAGTATTTGCTATGAAATTTTTTTTGTTTTTTATAAAATATTTTTGGCATGAATTCTGTAAGTAAAGCAAAGAATTACAGTTGATTTATTAATGATTCGTTATTCATAGTTTACATGTTATTATGTGTAATGTGTTAAGTTTTTCAAAAAACTCAGTTAATTACAGAGTTGAGATGACCAAATGTTTAGTGTAGATATAATATTCTTAGTATAGTTTCAGTTAACCTGAATGTTTGTTTACAACAATTGTTTCTTATTAGAATGGGAATTTGTAGAGATTGTAATAATTTTAATAGTTGAATTCATGAGTTAATCTAAGCTAAGTTGCCACTGAAAATCTGAAAAACCGTTTCGTCCTTGATTCCGCACGCGGAACTCGAACACATGACCTGTGGTCTCACACGCAAACGCCTAGCCTTTATATCACTGATATGGCATCTAATGGTGCGAATGTCTAACTTTAATCGATCCATAATGTTGTGTTGGCCTTCATCCATTATCTGAAGGGGATGAATGTTTCCACCCGACACAGATTGGACTTACTAGAATTCTTGGAAATCCACTACTTACTAGGTGGCACATGATAACTATTATTAGAATATGGGTTTGTAGAGATTGCAGTGATTTTAATGGTTGAGTTTAATGAGTCTATTTAAGTTAGACCACTCAAAAGGCCATATTACATTTAGTTCATTATGTTAAGTTATTGTTATACCTTTTTGTCATCAACTTCAAAAAGACTATATTCTAGAATTTTATTGAAGCTTATGTTATCAGAACTCCGCCTGTAGCTCTAACAGGGTTACTGCTGGTCCCAAGCCCGGATAAAGGAGGAGGGTTGGGCATGGGGTTAGCGTCCCCATCCCGTAGAAAACTAACTCGCTAAAAAAACGCTTACCAGAAAAAATAATCCAAACCATTTAAACTCTGCCCTGGGAGTTAGAAGGTCTTCAGTTAGAAGAATTATGACGCTTCATGGTGAAAGCCGAGTTCCTTCGGAAGCCACGAGGCCGATGTCCCTTCTAACAACTAGAGCAAAAATTTTTATAGGTACATGGAACGTTCGAACAATGTGGGAAACCGGGAAGACCAGTCAAATAGCAATGGAAATGAGGAGATACAACTTAGCAGTACTGGGAATCAGTGAAACCCACTGGACCCAAGCTGGATAGAAAAGGCTAGCCACGGGAGAGATGCTGCTATACTCCGGTCACGAAGAGGAAAATACATCCATTGGCCGGATACCATCAGCAATAGCCTACTGTGGGAGAGAACAAACCAACTTCCAGCTGAAGAAGAAATTAGGAAAAGACGATGGAAATGGATAGGGCATACATTACGCAAATCGTCAAACTGCATCAAGAGGCAAGCCCTAACTTGGAATCCTGAAGGGAAGCGAAAAAGAGGAAGGCCAAAGAACACATTGCGTCGGATAATAGAAGCAGATATGAAAAGGATGAATTACAACTGGACGGAGCTGAAAGGATTGCCCAGGACAGGGTTGGATGGAGAATGCTGGTGAGTGGCCTATGCTCCTTCACGAGGAGTAACAGGCGTAAGTAAGTAAGTAAGTAAGTAAGTTATGTTATCAGGCTGTTTATTATAAGAAAAGTTGTAGTATCCCATTTGACCAACGATTTACTCATCTATATTACCTGTAGGATCGATGACTTATTTTTCCAATATCAGCAATCAATGAACGATAACTGAGACCTTACGGTTTGTCGGTTCTCGAGCGACTCTCAATCCATCATTTAATAAAAAAGACAAAGTCAATAAACTGTTACCTTCTCAATTTTTTAGCAATATCATGAGTCTCAAACTCATATAGTAATATTAGGTAATTTTGTCACCATATATATCACCATAAATAGGAAATTGCATTGTGTTCACATATACGTCATAAGTGAAAGGGAACTAAACAACAGATAGATAATGAATTTATAATAATACAAGAACGGTTAAACATTCAACAATCATTTATATACCAAATGAGAAATTAAAAATACAAGAATATGAGAATAAAATAACCCGAATATCTAGTAATTATTACCATAAAAATATAAATAATCATTCTTTGTAAAATGATTCCAAAACTTACCACCTTTTTCAATATTCACCCAATTATAATGTTTCTGTCGTAATATCACTTGATTAATTCACTGAACTATCGAGATTCGAACAATATTTCCTTTGTAAAGTTAGTCAGTCAGTAACAACGTAGAACTTCGTACGTACGTACGTACATCGGTTCGAGTTGCCACACCACATTAGCACACAGATGCAGTGGTCGATTCAAATCCCATAGTGCTAGATGTAGTAAAATTATAAGCTGTAATCAGAAAAATTAGGGTTTGAAGATGTTATTCAAGGAGTATAATCCAGTGAAATAAATTTGGGAAGAGAAAAAGATACAAGAAGGATTCAGGAGATTAGAATTTGGGAGAACACAAAGAATGGATGCACCTGCGCCATTTCAAACGATTTTGAGCCATGTCATTCAAGGTCTCTAACCACTGGTTGCTATCATCTCGCGGTCCCCAACCAGGTAGTCTACACCTACCAGCATGGCTTAGTCCACTTGTCAATGACTTCATTGGATTTGTGCCATGTTCCTTTGTAAAGACTGTAGTTATGATACAGTTGATCAGACTAAATTTAAATGAGTAATTGACTAAGTAAAATTCCAAAGTTTTCAACTACCTTGGTTACATATTCAGTTTCTAAAACTGATTAACTTCTTTACCTAAAACAATCCATCTGTTCAATTACAAAATACCATTATTAGATCTAATACAATTTACTGATGATTATTAACATGTACAAAATTATAGTTCGTGGATGCGCACTGCTGAGGAGTCCCACACTAGGACGAAACGGTCGTCCAGTGCTTCCAGGCTTTCAATGGTGGTCTAACATCAATCGGTTTATGATCTCAATCAAAAACTTAACAATCTCCACAACCCCTAGAACTGATAATTATATTTATCTGTTTCTATAATTTATAGATAATGAAGAACCATCAAGAGAAGCTAAAATTCATTT